CTTCTCTGCATATTCGGTTTGGCTCTTGCTTTCATGACCATCGCTTTCAATTTTTTGGCGGGAAAACAAGTCGGTCAAATATTTAATCGAGGTCGCATTATCAAAAGCCCTATTGCGGGCTTAGTAGCCGGTTGCCTAGTGACTATATTTTACAATTCTCGTCGATAACTACATCAATAATAACGAGCATGGCTGCTTCAGGAATTTTAAGTGTCAAAACCGCAGTTCCAATTGTAATGGGAGCTAACATCGGCACATCAGTGACTAGTACTCTGGTCTCAATTAGCCAAATTGCAGACGTCAATAATTATGAGCCGGCGTTCGCAGCGACAATGCACGACATGTTTAATTTGCTATCCGGGGCCGTGATTCTTCCACTAGAATGGATCAAGAATTTTCTCAATTGGCTTTCGGAAATCATAGCCGAACAACTGCATAAAAAGTTACATGGAACTGCAGTCGAACACGTTTGACCGACCCCATAATTAGCCGAATCTTTCTAGTCAATACTACGTTCATCAAGCAGATATCAAAAACCGCAGAGTTGGAAAAGACGAGCGAGTTCTTATAATATATAGATTACTCCATGTCTTATTTTTAGTTTATCCCTAGCGGGGGAATTTTACCTAGGACAGATTAGATGCTCGACTTCGCGAACACTACTTATAATGATACCAGTAGTCGGAATGCGACCGACTTGGTACCATGGAAAATGTGTCCAGCTCTTTTTCCTACTGGAAACAATCGGATAAGCGTGTGCTGGCGTTTTAATACTTGTCTCATCTTTGATAGTATTATTCCTTTGCTTATTTTTCATAGTAAAGTTTTTGAGGTAAATTTTTGAAGGTCATATAACAGGTGTGATGGACAAGATTTTGAAATCCGGCTTCCCAGGTTTCTGGTCTCGACTCGGCTTTCTTATAGGCTACGTCGCAATCTTCATTGGAGCTTTTATGACAATACTAACACAAAGCAGGTCGGCGTTTACCTGCGCTTTGACTCCTTTGGTCGGTTTAAACTTAGTCAGCATCGAAAATGCTTTTCCAATGACTCTAGGAGCAAAAATTGGCACAACCATTACAGGACTGTTAGTATCTAGCGACCAAAACTTCGAACAAGCACTGCAAATTAGTTTGTGCCATGTACTTTTCAACCTTATCTGAATTCTGATTTGGTACCCAGATCCAATCTTGCGGAAAATTCCATTGAGAGCAGCAAAGCGCCTGGAAAAAACTACATATAAATATAAGTGGTTCACGTTCGCTTATATACTGATTGTGTTCATAATTACACCATGTTGTTTAAGTTTATCCCTAGCGGGGAAATTTTACCTAGGAGTTTTTGGCTTCACTACTTTGGGCGTTACGTTTTTGTTTCCTACACTGATAATGGTACAAAAAAATCAAACCCCAAATTTTACCAGAAACCTTACAAAGTTTTAAGTTTCTGCCCAAATTAATGAGATCCCATGAGCCTATAGACAGTACCGGTCGAATTATATTCAACTCTTTCAAATCATGCGTGACGTCATTTCCTGGGAGAGACTATGCGTCATAATACGTTCAGCTTGAGTTGGACGAAAAATCAGGATGCTCCTCAAATTGTTCAAGGTCGGTCAGGTTTGTACAATCAGAGCTTTGATTATAATTCTTCATCGCCTATTTTGACCGCATGGTGGCGACGAAAAATTGAAGAAACTAGCACTGTGCAACAAATCGAAAATTTCACACCAAATGATGGAAGCAACCCAGAAGAGCCACAGGGCCAGTCTGTGTCCGAAACTGGGCTGACGAACCAGGCCTACCGCTATGAAGATCATTATGACGAGGAAGACTAAAATTTTTTCAAATTCTTTTCCGAAATCATTCTAAGTCCAAAAGGTGATTTTTGTGATTTGCAAGTGGAATCGCAAAAAGACCGCGCTCTGAATTTTTTTTGGGAACTTTTTGATACTCAATAATTTACACACTTGTTTGTAAAATTATTCTTTTTTAGCAGCATGGAAATCTGAAAAAAAATATCTGATTAAAAAAAAGTTCCGTGTTTTCATTTTAATTGAAAATTGAAAGTGTCAAAATGAGAATGAAACTTGAAAACAGCAAAAAAAAATATAAACCAAGTTGGCTTTTTGAAAGCACAGATTACAACTTAATTGAAAGAGACCCAAGTGTTATTGTTTCCAGCTATGCACTAGAAAATTAACTCGTGGACAGCTTACTTAGATTCCCACTTCGCAAATCATGGCAAAGGTGGAATATTGAATCTCCAAATGTGTTTGAACTGGGCAGCATCGCCAAGCCAACACAGCACAACACGTTAAAAATTAACGTTGAAAAAGTTTTTTTTCTGCATTTTTTTTCTGATATGGTGCTAATTTAACCTAAGTTTTATCAGTTTTGTTCGGATAATTTCAACCAGCACTGTTTTGGCAGAGTTTTTTTTCCATTTTCATACTTTTATTCCGTCTTAAGCAGAAGCGAAGCTGCGATTTGCAAACACAAGCTAAAAAATGACCAAAATTTGGCTCTCGAACATATAACAAAAAAACAAAAGGTAGAAACAAGCCTTGAAAATTTTAAAAACTTTTGAGGTGGTGGATTTAAACCTACGATTAGTACCTTAGGAGTCCCTTAAAAATTAACTAATACTAGGCACCAATGAAGCAGCTAAACTTGCTATTAAGTTAACAACTTTATGCAGCACGAGTCGCATCAAATATAAACAGACAAAAACTTTGCATGCATTGTTTTGAATTATTGAAAAATTTAAGACATTCACAACATTTCGACATCTAACAAATTGGGAAACATAATGTCAACTAAGTTAATTTTGCAAAATTTGTGTTTAATTGAGTTGAAAATTTTCTGATATGCATTTTTCATAACTGGATTGAAACAAATCAGTTTTTTTTCGGTAAATTTAATTTACACTAATCTCGCTAAAGCTGGCTTGTGTAATCATGACAAAAACATGATGTTGGGAGGTGAAAGTTTGAAAAACAATGTTGTTCAATTTTGTTGATTTTTCTTCACGGCAATTTTTTTGTATTAAGACAATGTGAAGTAGTTTTCAAAACTGAAAAACTTGTGTCAGAGAAAATGGAAAATTGTCGAAAAAAATGTTCAATGTCCAATTACTGAAGTTTTTTTTCATTGATTTTTGCACGTGTTAAATATGAAATGTTAAAAGCAGCAGCGTCCAAAATTCTCCAGTCACCAAGTTGCGTGAGGAACTCTCTAAAAACTGAAGAAAGTACATTTCGTAGTAAACACGTGCAAAGATCAATATTCATTGCTTAATCAGCCAGCACTTAATCACTATCACGCAAAAATTTTCAGCCTATTAAACTAAACGGCGAGTAGCACAACACCACTATCATTTTGTGCTCAAAAATCATCAAAAATAGCAGTAATAAGGAATAACTGGAATTTTTATTACAGTTTGAATCGAAAGAGTTTCAATATGATATATGGCTCTATTTCTTACGAGTTTTCTCCAAATTTCTGCATTTTGAGTTAAAAATTTATCTGAATCCAAAGTTCCATCCAAATTCGTGAAAAAATTTCCATCGGAACTAAAGCGAACAAAAGTATATCTCCAAATGATGTTGAAAAATAGTTTGGGATCTGTTTAACTAAACACCAAACACCTTTCTTTGCAAAAGGGGTTTTTCGTTACTAAGGCACAACATTCACATACAGAGTCTCACAAAGCAATTACAATGTGCCGAAACATAAATTTCAGCCCTCACTTAGTCAAAACCACTAAAATCTCGGTCGTTTTTTTGCATGCTTAATGAGCTGGTATTTACTCATGCATCATTAACAAGTACATAAGTTCAGCTTCTTAACGTTTATACTCCATTTTTCACGAATTTTTCAAATTTGCTCATCGCTGTTAGTTCTTTTGTGGCGTTTATGAAAAAAAAACTTCGTCAATATTAATCGACTTGAAGCAAACAAAAAACTCAAGATAAAAAATTCGGTATTTGGAGTATCCTCCTCATGCTGCAAGGTCCAGGCATGTTTGTACAGGAACGCCAATCCATTCGTCCTGAACCAGTTCCCAAAGCTTGTTTATACTCCTAGGTGCATCAAGATATGCCTGTAATCTGCGCTTGAAAAAGAGCCACAATTGATCAATTCACGTACATATGACTGCACTGCTGCTCCAATCGACTATATTTCTTTAGATTAAGTTGGTTTTTGATATCCAATATGAAGACGCATTACACTAGTGCACAAAATTTGAAGCAAATTCAGATTTTACCTCTCCAAGATGCCTAGTTTCAAGGACCATTTTGGATAACAATTACTAAATTTTTATCAAAAATTTTATATCAACCGTGACAAAATGATTTCAGCTACGCTCTAAAAAATCATTAAAATTGGATATCAAGCACTTACCCTTTTTTCCGGGTCTGAAAAATCCATTTTTTAACATCTACAGTAAGTTTTTTTATGCGAATGAACACTTTCTTGAACTGGTCAGAAAAGTGTTTCAAATTAAAAATGAGACCTTCAAAGAGGGTAGTTCAGATTATTTGCTAACAGTCGATGCAATAGGTATGTTTTTTTTTCCCAGTGAATGATGAAAAAAACATCCTAGAAAACAGGAATTTTTTTAAAAAAACCTGAATTTGCGCTTAATTTTGCCCACCTGGATAAAAAAGAATTTAAACAATTCAATGCCGTTAAGAAAAAGTAGTATGAAAGTTCGGAAGATGAATTTATGTACGATGCATTGGTAAATGCCTGCTAATTTAGCATGCTAAAATTAAGACCGTAATTTTCTTAGATTAGACAAAGTGAGTGTTGAAAGTAAAGTGTTGAAACATGCTAGTTTCGTGAGACACTGAATGCTTAATATTTGAACTAGATCAATTTAGTTGACAATTTGTTGCTAGATACTAAAGGGGAGGGTAAATAGTTAAAAAGATCCATGGTTTGTGTGAAAGCCTTGCTGACTAGTTATCATGCATCTATGCGCACGCAACATATATTGGTTTTTGAATAAATACACAACTTCATAGAAATTTTCATTTTTGTAAAATGATATGATTCAACTAATTTTTTTAAATGCAGTCTTGTTAAACATACTTTAACGTTAGGGTCCATATTTTACAGAAACTCATGTATCTAATTTGGATCGCACAACTAAAGTTTCAATTTGAAAGATTCGAACAATAACTGAAAAGTGTGATCAACTGTTTCAAACCGTGAAGTTTTCAACGTGGAGGTCAAACTTCACTCCTTTCAAGCTCCATTCTCGACATAGAAATTCCACCTCGCGCAAGAAGCTCTTTGGTGCGCAGAGGATAACTGCGACTCGGGGTACGTTTTGGGTTTTGCAGAAAGAAAAGGCGTGTTCGAATTCGGCCGACATGTGAAGACGAGAGAGGCAGAGTCCCTTTTGGACCCCGGGGAAGATATTCCCTTCTGCGAACTCGTGGGCTATTCGGGTTTTGGTCATATGATAACCTGATAAAAAATGTTCAGGAGATCAAATCTTAAAACAACCCCAACAGGCAGTTTGAAAAGATTCAACGAATGCGAGGAAAATCTCCACAAAAAATTAAATTCCACTTTCCAACTAAAATTCGATCACGTTTTTCATGACCTTTACATTTTTGCTGTTCGATAGTGGAGTTTGTTTTCCTTTTAACAAAGGAAATGAGGTCATTTTAATAACAACGGAATGCGTGAGCCAGGGGCGGATCTAGGATTTTCTGGGGGGGGGGGGGGTGGATTTTCAAAAAGTTTTTGAAAATTTTGTCGATCTTTTTTTTAGGTCGACCAGATTGATTTTCTGAGCTCTCCCAAACCACTATAAAGACGCTAATTTGACCAAGGCGCTTTTAGGCACTTTTTAGAACATTTCGTCAAAAAAAATCGCGCGTTTTTTGGCGCGCGCTCCCACCTTAAAATTACTATATGTTGGCGCCAAAGGCGCCTTTAGAAACATTTTAGGGTGCGTCACCAAAAATGGATATCTCAAAATAGTACAAAGGGGGTCCCTTTGGATCGGCCTAAATCTGCCCCTGACTATGTTATTATATTCTTACATATTCGCTCAAAAATAAAAGCAAGCAAAGTGGGTCCCCTTTGAATGTAGGCCTCCTTTTTAAGGCCTACATACAATTTATGGGTATGTTTCTGGTCTGCAAATTGGTTCCCCGCCCTTGCAATCGACATGCACAGATCATGGCATATCGTGAACCACCAAATTTTTGACCGTGAGGTGGATACTAAGCAACTTCTGCATTGCTTCTTAACTAAGAGGGTTATATTTAAAATTTCTTACTGGCATGGACAATTTTGGGGTCGCACAAACTTCTCTTGAGCAAATCAGGCTGGAAACTGAAGGGTAGCTGATATATATCCGGATTGGCCAGCTCTGGCTCGCAGGGGAGTCTGTGTACTCTGTTGAAACTGTCTTTGACAGACCAGACAAAGTATATTTTGTCAACTTTCCTCTCTCCCTCTCTGTGTTGTTGCAACAGGGTGTTGCAGATTGATTGTCCTGGAGTCACTCCTAGAAACAAAAAAAATGTTTCATTATCATAATAATCATCATCTTTAACTTATTTATACACTCTTCCTTTTACTCAAGAGAGTTGAACTACATAGTTAATTAGTAATAATATTGTTTGAAAAGAGGACATTTCAGTTGTTTTTTCAAAATGAACTGAACTTGTCGGTGCTTCCAAGGGTATAAGTGATCTGGTTTCACATTTTTTAAATGGCTACAAAGATCTAAACGTATCGCAATGAGTAGAATCTAAATTTAAACTCAGATTTAAACAAACTCAATTTGAAAACGGACCATTTGGTCTAATGACGTTCTCTCAGGCTTGGTTATGAATTGTACAAAATTTTTAACTTTAAATTTTAAGTTAAATACTGAAAACAATATTTTACACAGAGTCAATGCAAGAAACACATTGCGCTACACGATAATGAATGGAAACAAAAGACAGTCAAAAAAAATTCTGAAAAATTTAACTTACTAGAAAAAATAACTTGAAAAATTGACAAAAATAGAGCTACAAAAACTTCAAGCTTGCATAAGATGAAGTCCAGAAACAGTTATAAGAATAATCGAAAATCATTTACCGAGCGGCTTTAAGTTTTATGATCGAAACTGTTGAGCCGAAAACAAAACTGTTGTCATAGAAAATTTCATAAAGTTTTAGACGTTTTTACGACATAATCTAAAATTTCATAAAGTCTAAAATTTCATAAAGTTTTAGAAGTTTTTACGACATTCTGAAACACATAATTGCATGCGATTATACTTGCCCTCAAAATTACGCAATATAAATTCAATAAACCGGTATAATATATACTGAAACTGTTTATAAATTTATTAAAAAAACGGAGAAAAAAAACACCCAAAACCAGACTTGGTAAATTTACAAATTACCGAAGATTCAGTTATAGTAAAAAAAATTATTTGGAACAAAAACCATGCTTTAAAAAGTAGGCCACAAGAAACCGTACTTAATTTATTAGCATTATTGTTATAATAACATCGAATCATGAAAATAACACATCTGGAATAAAAGTTTGCCACTTCATTGAAAAATAATTGACGGTCTAGAAGGACACCACTTGACTATTGTAAAGATAAACTTAGAAAATTAGAATGTAAATTGCATCAAACGCGTGTTCTGAATTTTGGTCAAAACTTTCCAAAAAAACCCAAAAGCCGGCATTTTTGATTTGTCTGATGTGTATTTTTCGAAGAAATCTCAAAAACCTATAAACAAACTTATAGATATATGAACTATAACTTATCTAAACTAAAAATTAAACTGTTGAATTTTTACCTGGAGCGAATTTTTTTTTACCTTTTCCTGATTTTTACTTTTCCTAAGGTTTTACGCCTCTTCGCAAAGCTGTAAATTCTACATCCGCAGCCAATTTATAAGTTGGAAATGATTTGAAACATTACGAGGCCAAACTGTGCATTGAAAGCGAATTCCGCAACAAGAACGCTCCCTTTGTTCTTATTTTGTTCTTTCATTTTCTTTGATCGTTCCGACAAAATTTTAACATGTTTAAAGACTTGTCTATGGAATCCAGGAACATACAGACAAAAAATTGTGCGCACAGTTTAGCCTCGTAATGAAAACTATAATTAAAAACACTATGAAACTACAATTTTAAAAACTAGTCTGAAAGATACTTAAAATGTTTTTTTTTCTATAAGTAACGGCTTTTTTCCAGTTCCCCCTTAATTTTTTCGGATAGTATTAAATTAAAGTCTGATAATAATGACTTTTCATGTTGCAAACTGCATTAAAACGTTTCAGCGTGAACAGGTGAACAAACTTTTACAACAATTTTTACTTGCAAAATGCCGTTTGAACAATTTTTGAACAGTCTTATTTTTGAGGGGAGTGGAAAACTGGAAAAGATCCAAAGTTACTTGACTACGTACCTATTCCGGCATTGATGGAAATGAAGACAGAGTACTTCTTTCGATCCCCCCACAAGTCAAGAGTCGGTTTGCCAAAAGGACCATAGAAGAACAGCCTCACCTTTTTGTGTTTGCTGTTGAACAAAGACAAAAAACAGATTATTCACCCAAATGAAAGTTTCCAGGATCAAATTAGCGTCATGCTCCCTCAATAGACCACGTTAAATCCTGAATATACAGCAAAAAGTAGACAGGTTATAAAATTGACAAGTCGCAAGCCAATCAGAATCGAGAAAATAAGATATTTTGTACGTTTGTTTTCTCATCTCGATTCTGATTAGCTTAAGCGAAGTGTCAACTTCAAGACGTGTCTACTTTTTAACAGCACTCTTAATATCCTTCACTCCTTACTTAATTTGCATCCGAATTGCTTTAGCACTGATTTAAATGTATTTGATTCTGATTGGGTGAAAAGTCCAACCAAGAACTAAGTTAACACCCTACCCCCGAAAACGACGTTAAATTAACCCGATTTTTCCATCCCGATGTCTCTTAATGATTTCGTAAAATTGTCCAAAAAATTATAAATGTTTATGTATAATCAAATAGTATATTATACAGCTGAAAACATTGAGTATTAACTGACAAATACACCTGGGGACAAAATCAAGCGCAAATTTAAGATTTTACTCTCTGGAATTTCTAATTCCAATGTCCATTTTGGAAAACATTTCCCTCGAAAATCAGTAAAACTTTCACTTAGACCACGAGCAAATGATCAGAACTATACCCTATGATGAAACTATCAAAAATTGGATTCAAGGACTTCGCAATGAAATCCGGGTCTGAAAATGCCAGTTTTGCTCATCTGCACTAAGTTTTGCAGCGTAGTGATTTCTTTCTTGAATGAGCGGAGTAAAAAAATTGTTCATACGACGTGAAACATTCTCAGCGAGAAAATGGAAACAATCAGTGTGAAAACTTTGCTAAATTCGGCTGTTTTGTTTTTTATCACGCGAAATAAAAAAAATTTAGCACAGACGAGCAAAACTGGCATTTTCAGACCCGGATTTCATTGGTAAGTCATTGAACCCAATTTTTGATAGTTTCATAGCGTAGTTCTGATCATTTGCTCTTGGTCTATGTAAAAAGTTTCTGAATTTCGAAATAAATGTTGTCCAAAATGGACATTGGATACAGGCATTTATTTCAAATAAAAAAATACTGAATTTGCGCTTAATTTTGTCCACTAGTGTATCTAACCATTACGTGACAATTAGGAAAATCAAACATATTTCAACCCAAAATACGAGACTTTCGACAAATTCATATTTTCTGCTCATATCAGTTGATTGGTTTATACTTAGACTGGTTTATTCACTTTCATTGCAACCTTTATTTTATGTTCCCGAACTTCAAATTATCAAGTGACTCGTGAACACATCTTGCTACCCATAATTTAGTTTTTAAATAGTTGCTTAGATTTAAAACAATAAAAAAAATTGGCGGTAGGCCAACAAGCCGAAGCGTCATTAAACCGAAAATAAGATAACCATTCCAACCAGCCGAAAATTATTTATTTATGCTTCATAGCAACAGATTTTCACGGTTGTTATGCTATTGTTATGTCATTCTGATATAATTTACGTTATTCTGATGTAATTTCGTCTTCAAGGCATGACTTGTTGAACATCCACCAAATAATTGAATTCAAACTAGAGAAAAATGAACCTGCTGCTTGAGTGATGGTCGTCTTGTCCACTGGCTACTTTGTAGAGGTTTTTGCCCCATCTTCCTCCCCCCACTCGCACATGCAGGGTCAGCTGGGGATCGAAGGGGGAGGAGCTGATGCTAAAGGGATGCCACTCGAATTTACTCACTAGCGGAATGTACACTCTAAAGACAAATTTTAACTTTAAGAATAGCAAAAAAGAAGACGCGAAAAAGGAACGGAGCTTTTCACTACTTAAAACAATTAATGTTGCAACTAAACGGATAGAACTATCGATGACAGAAAAAACAAGCCGACAGCCAAACTGAGAAATTTTTTTTTTCGGTTTTGTAAGGGCGGATGGCTTGTATGTAAGCGGGTGCAACGCCCGGGAAAATTATATGCAATGAACAAAGCTGATAGAAAAGTGCAAGCGTTCGAATGAGTTTTTCTATAGTTGGTAGACCAAAATAGGTGGCCATATTGTGTGTTAATGGCAAAATGCCAATAGCAACTGTGACAGTTGGGTTGACTGTCCTGCTGAGCTCTTTTAAACGTTTTATGATGTTTGGGGCCTCTGATTTCCCGCCAAAATATCACGATTATGCTCTCAACGTATCTAGATTACATAATTACTTTCTGTAATTGCAGATGTGCTACATTCGAGTTTGGTACTTTCAAAAAAATCAGTATTCGAAAGCTTTATTTTATCGCTTCAAAAAATCGTGGTCTGACGCTACGTGGCTCAATTGATTTATTCTTAGATTAAACTGTAGATTTCAAAAAAAAATTGAAGCATAGATTGTTTGCTGTTTATGTGTGTTTTTGTCTTGAATATGGCACAAAATGACGGTATAAGAAAAGAATAAACAGGTAAAATTATTATGATACAGCAGTTTTCTTAAAGCAGGTTTCTTTTCATTGGCAGTTGTTGTTTTCGATTAAAAATTTCAGTGAGCAGCTATAACAAAATAATGGAATAAATTTTAAGAATTTGAAGTTTAGCTTGACTCTAGCGTACGTAACTGAAGTAAACCAAGTTATTGAAGGTGGCGTGTGGGTTAAATAACGAAATTTGGTGTTTATAATTAAATACAGAGGCGAAGGGGTGCCTCGCGATTAAACACAAACATAAAAAATAAGAGGTCTCGCTAGAAGTTCATTCGCGGATAACATGGCAGAAATTTTGGTAAAAAATTAGCAATGGAACCAAACTCACGAAGAGGAAACAAAGCCGACAATCTTTGAGCATACACAAGTTTATAGAATCTCTTCACAGTTTTAAGTCCAACGTGAGACTAGCATGAACACCACTTGCACTTTCAACTACAAGGGAAGTTGCCTACAGCACATCAAAAAAAACATCAAAGATGTGGCAATTAAGCCGACAACGTTTGAGCACACACGTGTTGCGACAAAAAATGATTTAAGAAAAAGTTTCAACTCATCTTCCCTGAACCATACCAAAAAGAGCAACACTTGCAATTGCAATGAAAGTGGCTCACAGGACAAACAAGATATTCGATGACCTTAGGGTGCAAAGGCGACAGCGTTAATTCTGGACCAAGTGGAAAGGAACCTGGGGTATGTGAAGGTTCATTGAAAAAGCAAGAAAATTGTTTACTTTAAAAATCTGGATCTTAACGCAATATAAGTTCATTATGCCTAAAACAAACCGAGATAGTTTAATCGAATATGTATTCGATCATACAATATTATGTAATAAGTTTATGAAAATTTGCAGTTCTCAGAGCCAAGCAATCAAAATTACTTCTATTGAAACTTCTGAAAGCTTAAAGACAGGGACTTAAGAATAAACGAGAAAATGTTTTAGCGAGAGAACTCCATTGCCAATAATCTGGTAAATGTTATCACAGTAAAGTACAATTCGATCAAGCGAGCAGCCGGGAACCATAAAAACTTTGATGCTCAAAACGCGTTTTGTTCCGACCATAGAAAATGGGGAGAAATTTTGTATTTGGGCCTGTTTTAGTTTTTTTTTCTCGTTTTCTACGTAAAATCAGGTACCACAAATAATGATTGGACTGAGTTGAGTGATATTTCATTTTGAAGCCCTTACAGTCGTTATTCTTACCACACAATTTAAAAAAACAAATTCCCAGTGTCGAGAACAACCGGTTTGAAATTTTTAATTTTTCTTATTTCGAGCGAATAAAGCGAGCGATCATTCTTACTTAAATTGCTTAAAAACTTAAAACAGCTTAATATAGAACTCAAAAATTAATTTTACTTGAGTAACGTTAGTTTACCTTGAGTATTTTAGCCCCTTTTTTAAATCAAAATTTTCAAAAAATCAAAAAACTGCAAAACTAGAAACAAATTGCAATTTTTTTTAAAAAATTTTGTTTCCGTTTTTCAAGTAATTTTTCTTCAAAAGTTGTTTTTCATATTGCTTATTTTAATATGACTGTCGAATATACGTAACATTCAGTTTTTTTGTTCATTTTCTTTTATCACACCACGCCGAAAAAAAACAACAACAATTTGAAAAAATTTGTTATATATTTTTAAGGCTATGATCGGAACACTCTGTGTTACATTGTGCTACGGATTATTCCGTAAACTTTAATTGATCCAACTCAAGCCTACCAATTTTTTTGAAAGACTTCAACTTCTCACCTGATATGCTGGCCTGCTTCGAATGTGAAGTTGAGTGGTCTTTCCATCTCTATCTTGATTACATTGGAGGGCAGTCTGGTCAAAGATGCCTTATTCATGAGATACGCATTCCTCGCGGTAGAGATGACTCTGGTAAAAAACAGTTAGGGTAAAAACATCTAGCACATTTATTGAAAAACTCAACAGCAAGCGTGAATTTGTGCCAACGATTTCATTTGTCTGGCATTTCGAAAAAGATTCTTCAAGCTGTTTTTAAACAGTCAGATGAAAGTCTTTTACAATACCAAATTTTACAATAACTTTCATTGTTTTTACTTTGCAGATATACCTATTAATTAAACCAGCTTAACTGAGGGGTCAGAAAAACTTGACTAAAATTTCAATATCATCGATAAGTACCCAAAGTAAAGGATCAGAAGTTGGGGGACATCCTGATAATTTTGAACCCCAAAATCAATTAAAAACATCTTTTTTATGATGTATGATCCGTTATCTCTAAAAATAGTATGTCCATTTACCTTCTTCCTCTACGATGTATGATCCGTTATCTAAACTAATAGTACATAGTATGGCCCTTCCCTTTCTTTTTTTTACCGTTTCAACATGTACATCAAAAATTTATATAAATACCTGCAAATGATGTCGAGTAAGACGAATAAAAATGCAATGAAAATGAAGTATGCTTTGTGGTAGCCACATAAGACGAAGAATTTTACGACGAAGGCGAAGTTGAGAAGATTGGAGAATCTGTACATCCAGTTTCTGAGGAGGGAGAAACTTGTGAGAATGGAAACCCCGAACAGCACTGAAACATAGTCACAAACTGTCAAATAACGCTAATTTTATCACTAATTTTTCAGCGAAGTAGAAAGAAAATTGAGTCTTGCCGTAACAACTTAACCTTAAGAAAAAATATTCAGAAACTGAGTTTCGTAGGGAAAAAGATGCTCTGAACTTTAAAAAAATACAAAAAGGACTTGAAAAGAAAGCTCCGAAAGACGAAAATTGGCACATTGTGGGATCGAACTGGGGGATAAATTGATTTAGAAAATAAATTTTGCAGGGGAAAAAGGAGCTGTCAACTTTTAATGAAAATTTTCAAAAAAAAACATGGAAAAGAAGACTTTGAAAAAGAAAATTGGCACTTTGGAGATCGAACATTGGTGGGGCAAATTTTAGACGAACCAGATTACTGACGCATAATGTGGCACACTTTGCGGGTAATATCTAAAAAACAGGAGTTTCGGTCACTTTGCATGATTTCGTTAAAGTTTGAAAAATAATCAATCATGTCAGCACTTCAGTAATTTGCACTCAATCTATTTCTTGAAACTCAAAACAATATTTTCAAATCGAAAAAATATAGTCAGTTGCGGGCGCAGAAATTTTTCAAGGCGGCGATTTTTCGAACTTTTTCGATTTCGTTTTTAGGTCGACCAAATTGATTTTCCGAGCTCTTCCAAAAAACTACAATGACAGGCCAAAAAAGGTGTTTTTAGGCACTTTTTGGAAAAGTTAGACCAAAACTCGCGTTTTTTTGGCGCGCGTTCCCTCTCAAATTTAGTTATATTGGAGCCAAAGGCGCTTTTAGAAAAATTTTGAGGTTGGTCAGCCGAAAATGAATGTAGTGTTATACCAAAAAGGGGAGCTTCAGGAGTTAAAATAGCAATAAATTCAAAACAATTTAAAAATCCTGATTTTTGTTTTCTCATTTATCAGAAAACGAGTAAACGATATATATGTGTCTGTTTAGAAACAGTCCTGACCAAAAAAGTCCGAAAGAAACAGTCTTATACAAAAAAGTCTCAAAACAGTAAAAAAAACCTTCCCATTGATCGAAGTGACAACTATAAGAAAAATTTGGAGTAAAATTTTGGTTTTAACTAACTCAGATGATGATATATTAGTACAGCAAAAAAATGTCAAGATAACAGCAGCGTCCGCTCATTAAATGCAATAATTCGTGAAACAAAAAAAAACAAACAAAATGAATTGACTCTTTGTTTATTCCAGTCAAATATAGAAACCTATAAGGTCTATTAGATCTAATAGAGCTCTGTAAGCTCTTTGAATTTCAATAATTTCTTAAACAGAGGCAAAGTTGCACTTCGCATACACAAGCAACAAGCAAAAATATGACCGATAACGCTACACCAATTATGAGTCTGCATAATTGCTAAGTGACGCAAGTCAATTATGACGCATTAGCAGTACCAGTCAATTTGAAAAAAAAAAGAAATTTACCAACTAACATGCCTCAATTTACAAAGCGGACGCATTTTAATTAGTATACGAAAAATTTCATTAAATACATCCGACCCTGCCCAGGTTCGAACCCTCTTATTTTGTTGCGCGTCTCCTTCCCTACCTCTACGCTACAGATCCATTATACCTTGAAGCTAAAGTGCTTTTTCTAAAATAATAGTCTGTGTTAAGACCCTTAGCATTGGCTGTTCTTAATAGCTGGTTATTGATCAAAACGAACAATTTCAAAATGAACACTTTTTGTCGCAACATTTGCGCCGCAACAATATTTGCGACTTAAGTTGGAAAAAAAAAGTTCATACTATAACACAAGCTTTGCCTGTGTAATGATTGACACTTCTTGGCCAAATTTGAGCCCATTTAAAAAACTGGATCTAAAGGTAACTTTTAAATTTTATTATTCTGCTGAGAAACAAAAAATGAAATACATTTGAAAATTCAAAACTAAGCTCAACTTTTTTCCACTTTTGATAATGGACAGCGCCATTTACCTTCTAATTTTCAATTGATTCAAAGTTAGAACCTGAAAATAAATCAAAACGAAACCACCAGAGCAGAATGAACAACGTAGACAGATTTAGAAGCTTTAGGCAGTGCGATGAAATATTTAAAGAATTGAATATCTAAATTAGAGAAAATTAAATTCCTGCATAAACAATTACGAACTGGAATATAAAAATTGGCGGTTCGATATAAAAAGTTCTCCATTGGTTTCAGAGGAAAAAGTCTCAATATTTTTTCAAAAAAAAATCAACGGCATCTTGTCGTGCAAATATCTGATCAAGCTGAACTCGGATAAATCTCAATAAAAGCTGACAAAAAAACTAAAAAAGTCCAAATCTTTTTATATGAATACTAGCTCCAACAACGCAGAGTACAGCAGCAGTTTTCATGTAGGGATGATAACTACCCAATCTGAGTAAAACGCTATCCAAATTTTGCAGTTTCGAAGTGATAAGCGTCTATGCTCCTAACCCCAATCTATACTTCAGAAATCGAACGCCCAACTTAACACAGAAATGGGTGACTTATATTCGAAAAATTAGTTCATTGTGTAACACAAGTGTTGCTTGTGTAAAAACAGAAAAAGGTCTAAATGGTTGAGAGGTTGAAATAGTGATAGAGATGTGAAGGGGAAAATGAAATTGTCAGAGGGGGGCCTTTTCTGCTAATAAGCAAATACAACTATCAAGTCAATTAATAGAAGCTTCTTGGTTATTTTCAAGGCTTTTAATAAAAACATAACCCGCCCACTAATTTACTTGAACATATTCCAAATTTGATGTGAGTAATAAATTAAAAATACTTCGAAGTTTTGTATTTTAAACCAGAGATTGTAACAGTTTGATAGCACAATCCTATCATAGTTTTACTATGTCAAGTTTAATATTACCATCAGTAAGGAGTTAAAGCAACGAAGCAAAAAGCAGGCAAGGCTTATAGACTTAGAACAACCTAACTTCCTTTATTTTCAATCTTCTCCTTTTTTAGGACCGAGCAAACGCGGCAAGAAAAAATTAAACAATGAGAGAGATTTACACGGACGCCCATCAAAATTGCTTTCTTTTTCCGAAACATACCAAAAAGTCCTTTTTCGTTTTCTCTACAATTAAAATTTACCGTGAATTTTTTTTTTACCTAATCCAACCGTAATGAAATTTTGGAAACTGAACCAATTACTATAATCTGAAATATTTAGTTCTCATACATTAAATTGCAAAACTTATCGTTACAGCGAAAAGTTCAGGCTTTTGCAAGGCGGGGGAAGGCAAGGAACCACTAAAGTTCTACCTGCAGCAGCAACTCCAGTTTTGCACTCTTCGACTGTATCTTCGCTACTGTTCCAGTTGCAAGTCAGAGGAGCCGCATGCAATACTAACAACACCATCGATCCCATTCCGCCAATCACGTTACACCTCGCACTTGATTGGCTGTTGTATGGAACCTTGGCGACCAACCACAGCACGCTATAGATGCCGATGACCGAAAACCAGATTGCAATTCCAGCTATAGCGACGCTTCCAGTTGTAAGAGGAGAAAAATCGAGGCCAACAAAAATGGAGTTCGCGGCAATCAAGGCGAGATAAACGAGAAGGAAGAAAGCTTCGAGTAACGTGGCGTTGATGTATCGATTACATAACCTGACAAAGCACACTTTCCAAAGTATCTCTCGAGTGACGTCACTGAAACAACAAAAATATTTAACAATTTAACCCAGTCAATTACAATTTCAATTTACAGTTTAAAAAATCAGAACTCGGCTATCGGAAACTTGACTTTTGCTTAGTGAACCCACGCTATCTTTTCTTGGCAAAAACGTACGAATGGCAATTTGCATTACAGAAAATGCATAAAACCTATTCACTTAATCTTACTGACATGCTTCAATTTGATTCATAACAGCAAAAATTATTCGACACAGGCGACGCGGAGCATCGCACCACTTGCGATACAAAACCAACATTAAGAAAAAAACAAGTCTAAATAATGTTTAAAAAAAAGTTGAACCAAAATTTTCGTCTGCAGGAACCATTATCGCAACCAGTTCTTTCAGTTGAACTTTTCATCTCAGACTTGACAGTGTAAATTTTAAGAAAAATCAAAAAGTTTCTGAAAAACTGTCAAAAATTCTAAAAAACTGCCAAACGGATTTCCGAAATCCATGAACTTTTCCTGCAAAGAGCAGGTTGTGGCCGCTCAAGCAGTGAAGACTCTCAAAACGGGGTTTCTCAATTGAACACAACCTGAGAATTAGCACAGTAGTTTTCGCGTAAAGTCAAAAAGTTTGCAAACACTGTCAAAGTTTCAAAACTTCGACTTGTTTGAAGACTATAATTTTTTTCTAAAGCAAACTGAGTATAGCCAGTTATAAAGGTATGCTTTCAACAACCTGTTGTTTCGATTAAACCTATGATATCAGATTTGGTAGGATAGCGAGAAAAGTCCAAAAAACGGTCAACTAAACAAAAATTTGACATTTCCGAGATTCATAGCTTTTTGTTTGCAAAATTAAGGCATAGCTGCTGATGCAGAAGAGATTAACTCAACCTGTATTTTCGATTGAACCCAAAATCTCAGATTTGGAGGGTAGTTCTCGAGAAATGTCAAAAACTTTTTTTTAAAACTCAAAAAACGTTGACTTTTCCGAGGGCCATAACTTTTGGTGTCAGAAAAATTTGGGATTAATCTCATAAAAAATGAGCTTCACAACACTCATTTTTTGAAATGAACCCAAAATCTCAAATATAGCAGGGTCGTTTTCGAGAATATTCAAAAAAAATTTCGAAACGAACTAAAATCAAAATTTTCACAATTCCGAGGGCCATAACTTTATGATTAAGAAAAATTTGGGCGCAAACGCTCATGTAGAGAGTTTTTGAAACCATTCTACTCATTGAAACCAAAAACTCAGTTTTGAGAGGTTTTTCTTGAGAAAACAAAAAAAATCAAAAATATGGGTCCAATATTCCCCACCGACTTTTTTGAAGGCTGTAGACAGAGAAGTCAAGTAAAAAGAGACTCTAGGCGAGTAAATAGGCACACAGGGCAGTAGCCAGTCTTTCAAATGATACTTTTTTAAAAATCAGTATAAGTTTCTGATAAAACAGAAAATTTTCCAATGAATTTGAAAATTATTTTCCATAATGAAAAAAAAATTCAACAAACCGATTGGTAAACCAACATGAAAAATGCAGAGGGTGGTGTTTAAGTTATTTTCTCTTGAAACGACCTAAAATTAGGTCATTAAGCCAATAAAAAAAGGCCGAAACAATTTGGGCCTAGGAATTTTTTTACGCGAAACAAAAAAAAAGAAATACGAAGTCAAGTAAAATTACAAATTTTAGGAGTAAATCAAGCAATGAAAACAACGGAAAAGAAAAATGCGCGCAGCAAAAGAAACGATTTCAAGATAAGACAACTAAGCCGACAACAGATAAACAGACAAATAATTGGCCGACAATTTCATTTGAAACAGAATATTTCCCGTTTGAAAAAAAAAGCAGGTCTTGGTCAGATTCAAACCCAGGACCTCCTGGCTAATTTGGCCGGGAACGCATAGAAAGTTGATTGCAGTGATTCTGTTAAATACGTAGTTAACCCGCAAAAAAGTCTATATTCCAGTTTGATAATGCTTGCTAGTCGCCAGCGTAAACATGCGATCAAGTAAAACTGAAGCCGTGGTTGGAAACGAGCCGGAAGCTATGATATGCTTAAACAAGATTACGCTCTTATTTTTTTCCCATTGACAACAAGCTGGTCCGAACGATGAAACTAACATGTAGTATAAAATTCCTCGCTCTGCTTTCTTCTCTGTTTGGTCTTCGTCGTCTTTTCTTTTCGGTAATTCGACACCACTGTTCGTCGCCACAGGTCCCTCCGGCGTCCTTATGATTTTCAGTTTCGGTTTTCCTTTGATAGTATTTGTCTTTGAGGCAACTTCGTCCGCTTCTTCGTCGTCGGGGACACTCGTCCGACTAGATTCTCTCGCCATCCACGAGGGAACAGTAGGGGTGAGTCGATTTTCATCGGGATCTGCAAAAACTTCAGTTTGTAAAGTCGAAACGACAAACAAAAACACAACGTTTCAACACATTACTTAATGAGTACACTACAGTTAACTCTTAAACAATAAAAGAGTACGGAAAGTTGAGAAATAGAACATTCAAGCTTTTTTGAATATAGGAAACGTTTGCGGAACCCGTTTTGAAAATCGGCAGAAGTTGATGCCGTAATTTGGTACACTAGGGGAAAAGGGACTGGCACACTTCGTTACTACTCAAACTTCTTTTTTTAATTTTTTTTAGGGGAAAATATGTTAGAAAAGTTTAACCGGGAAGAGAGGGCACCGTACGCGTAAAAATATAAACAAACAACTTCCAAAATAAATTTGGTCGCAGCCAGATGATGAATCGAACCGCTGCCCTTGTGAGAAAAAGCAACTAGTCTCAAACACGCATGTTACTCCGTTGGTGCAATCATGAATCGCAACCCAATATCACTGACCTGACGATAGGAGCAACACAGGGCTGACATGTTTGCGAGGTTGTTTCGATTCTTCCTGAGATGTCTGTTGTTTGTCCCCATTTTGTTCATGTTCGTCGTAGTTGATTTCAGGGGCCGCAGAGGGATCGCCGTCCGGGATTGTCCCGCCCTCTGAAATTTTAAAGAATAACTGTTCACTAACCTTTTTTTAGTCAATCAGCCTTTCAGTTCATTTTGAAGTATTTAAATTTGCCTAGATATGGCCCTAAACAACTCGGATTGCAAAACGTAGCAAACTTTTCCTTGCAAAACTGTGAATATATTTTATCTCAAAATACAGTGCTGAGTTGAAATATCAGGACAAAACGAATAAATCATAAAAATTAAAACTCGTTTTTTTTTTAACTTGCGTTGATTTAGCTTACACAGGAGCTTCATATCAAAATAAAAACCGTTTTGAAGTGTTTTAGCGGATATATTTTGTGAGAAAACTCTTTCCCAGCAAAAATTCACTCAATCGATGTTTTAAATATCTATTCTCGATCTCAGTACCGATTTCAAACACCAATTATTTTGAAACTTCATTTTCAATTTTTACTTTGTTCTACAGTTTGTCGAATCTTTGCATAGCTATTTGACTAATCCCAGGAGCTTAAATATCGGAAAGGTTCAAAACTATTAAGGGGATTGCTTTGGTACTATTAAATCAGTATCAATCAGGTTCGTTAAATTATCGGTGGTATGGGGTTTGTTTGTTGAAAATTTATTTAGAAAAACTAAATTTCAGTTTTTATAATCAAAGTTGCCAGCTTTTGGACCAAATTTCACCATTTTCTGAAATAAATAACTTGCAAAATCATCTAGATTGGCTATTTGAAAGTAAAAAAACAAACACTAAAACAATGGTAGATCTCAATAAAAATATTCAATGAATTTTTTTTATAAATCTGTCAAAAAACACTCAAACTTTGCAGCTGGACTTGTAAAAGAAGTTCAAGTGCTAAAAAATTAATGAGAAGTACTCAAAAATTACCGTTTATATCAGAAACTCTTCGAAAAAGACGACAATGAGCACATGAAAATAGTGAAAGCAGTAATCAAGGCTAACATCTAGAGAAACGGGTTGTTCTAACATGCAGTTCACGGGCAAATTCTAGGACCCGATTTAATAACAAATGCCAATCGCAAGTTTAACAAGGATAGCCGAGTACTGTGCAAGAAGAACAGTATGTCCCGAACATAGTTTTGAAAAAAAATCAAGAAATTAGGCATTTTCTACAGTCATATTAAACTAGGCAAATTGGGAACCCATTTTTGCAGAAAAAAGTTTATATCAAAAAATTTCAAAATTTTCAATTTTTTTAGAGAATTGAGTTTAGAAAATTTTGACGCAAAAAAACTGCAAAAACTAGCTTTACTCGAGCAAAAATAAGTTTTCACAGCTTACATTAAGCATAAATAAGCTACTTAAAGCCTGCTCTTTCACCCTTTTCGATCGAAATTCGAACAAATATAATACACTCGAACAAATTTTTCTCGACACTGATTTCTCCGATTTTTTTTATTTCGTTCAAACCACGGACGAAAAGGATTTAAAATGATATTTCACTCGACATTTTCCCATGATTATTTTGGGTACCTTATTTTTAGTGGAAAACAAAAAAAAAAGAAACTATTTAAACACACCCGAATACAAAAATCCTCCACATTGTCATTGGTCGGAACCAAAATTAGTCCAAAACATTCAAAAAAACTGGCAAGCTCAACTCCCTAAAAAACTAGGTACAAATTTTTTGAACGAACAAATTTAGAAAAACGAAGCAAAAATCGGTAATATTAGAGTTTATTACCCGGGGAATCATTGAAGTGTTGTCAGCAATCATTGAAGTGGCAACCGTTATTTAAGATAAAGAACCGACATAGTCATTCTCAGATTGATAAGTCAACTGCAAACTGGCAACTACATCGACAGAAACAATGGAGCCATTTTTTTTAAAAAAAAATTGGCTTTTAACAGTTTGTCAAAATTGCTCATTTAGAAAAACACTTTACAGATCAATTGCTAAAATGCCATGGTTTCCTGGCATTTGGAAAACAATAGCCACCAATAAAGACAAGACAGATGATTTTAAATTGTCAATACTATGCAGCAGAAGGATCACTTCTTTTTTGCGAGTTGGATTAGAAAAAACGGAAGAGTAATATAACGTTATGCCTGCTATCTGCCATGTGTAAACACCACAGACATTGAGCTGGACGCATGAAATTAAAGCAAAAAATGGATACCCAAACGAAAACTATTAAACAGAGGTGAAGAGGTTTTACACTTCGCAAACACAAGCGACAGAACGCCAAAAAAAATTGACGCTAAAAGTAAAGTAAAGAAAAAAAAGCAGAAATATGGCTCGAAAAAATTCTCCGCGCACCGGAATCAAATCTATGGGCTTGAGATTAAAAGTCACGCGTCCTGGCCAATGAAATCACTGTGCAACGTTAGAAAAGCATAGAAAAAGATTTGCTAAAAACAAGGCTTGCAACGATTATCCAAGCAAACGGAAGCCCGAAACTAAACTTTGTAAAAACACAAGCATATACAACAAACATTTTGCACAAAATTGCATGTGCTAATGATCAAACCGCAACGCCTTGTCGTCCCAATCATGTGTTTTTCCTCTGCGCTAAATGCGCAGAAACACTTTCTCGGAAAAACTTGCTTCTAAAACAAGCTAAAAATTGGTGAACTTATATTTGACAAAAGTCCATGTTATGATTTGAGAATGGTTTGATAATTATCGCAACGCTTATTCGTGATATCCTCTCAAAAATTAAGCATATTCAGAAATCTCGGCGCCGCTGTTTCTGAATATTTTTACCATTAATAGAAAACTTCGAAAATTTGAACAATAACTAACTTTCCGTCTGATTATGTTCTGCGTACTTCAGAAACAGCTTTAATGTAGTTTAATAAGCTACTTTTAGTATTTGACGTGGACATTCAGACAAAACTAGAACCGTAAATTCAAGTAGACATTTCTTTGCCGAAGCATTATTTAATGAGCCACGGATTCAAATGATTACTTATTCACATGCAACCACTCTGCTACTAACTGTTTTCTAATTGAATCACTTTCACTGTCGATTAGATAAGAATACGAATGTACTTTACAAAGAAAATAAGTTAAAATGTTTAACTAAACGCGACAGAAAAGCAAAAGAACAAAAAAGAGCCGTTTGAAAAACTAAAATTGAAAATTAGCCGAGAACATATGCAGCCAGGGGCGGGTTTCAGGGTACCCATAATTTGAGGGGGACTTCCAATCCCTCAGGAATTTGAAATCCTCACTGCTGTTAGGCGCTCTATGTGTTACTACAATATTAAAAGCAGTTTTGGTCGAACAACCCCTATTATTCTGAGGCGCCAAAACACAGTAAGTTTGACGGGGATCAGGCGCAAAGACGACAAATTTTGGTTAAAATTTTTCCAAAAAGCTTAAACGGTTTTGATAAAATGTTTAAAAATTATCGAACTCATAACACGAAGTCGCTTTGGTTGATATAAAAACTCAAGCCCTAGCAAAAATTCCAGATCCGATTTTGGTTTAAGCAATTAAAACACCAATTAAAATTACAATAAATCACCGTGAGAAAAACTTTTTTCATTAATCTTAACTTGCGCTTGACATAATCTTTGAATACAGTTAAAAAGCTTTATACTGAGTATAAAAAAGCTTTGATTTTGTTTTGAAATTGAAGATTCCTTTAAAAACAGACAATTTGTAATTATTTACATTAACTAATATTATCCCATAACCTCAATTTCCTGAAAGCTACAGAAGCGTCTCATTAACTCATTAAGTGCTTCACGCGAAAATATATGGCTTATTTGAATTAAAGGTTTCCATTTCTCCCTAGATTGCAAATTTTCGATCATAAACAGGTTTAAATGGTCACTCACAAAAATTCCTATATCAATCCCTGCGTATGTTATATTTTAAATATCCCTAAAAAATTACCTCGCCGACTATTCTCACATATCAATCGCAAAAAGTTGAAGTTAGAAAATCGTTAGGACTAAATAATAATTAAATAATAGTAATTGGCGTTTCCGCGATTCGTCTAAGTATAGTCAGTCTCTCTTGTTTCTCCAGACTGAGTTCTTTGGTTGAGCAACGTGATACCACTAGGTCAGGCTGTGGTAGACCTGCAGCTGGAGATCAAGTGGGAACTCGTCCTCACACACTTTCATTCCCATGGCAGGGGATCGAATACACGATCTGACGATTACGAAGTGAACGCCTTACTACTATGCCCATATGTGCCTCTTAATTTGAATTGCTTTGCTCTGCATTCATTTGGAAATATGATGATCATTTTTCATATTTTTCTTCTCAATTACTTTCATTCATAATGATTTTTAAAAGATTAATAAACTTTAACTCTTCTGTGTGTTGCTGCAAATGGCAACTAAACCATTTTGGTGGTATTCGACTTCTATTGATTTCTCCTAAGCGAACAAAAGTGCTGTTATGCGCTACTTATGTAGAGCTGAGGTTGCCATAGTTTTTGGAACTGGTTGGAAAACTAATGCAAGCTCATTTTAATAGGTGCGTTGAGCCCGCTACCAGAAATTAGCAAAAAAAACGTATTTTGGTATTTTTATTATCCAGTGCGCCAATGTGTTGGCTTTCGGAAAACTATTTTCTAATCTCATAATTATGCCAGCTCAACACTTCTGCAAGTCCTGGCTTCATTTTGAGACTACAAGTCTGGAGCTATTGGCAGGATCTTGAAACCGTTGAAGTGAAAATATTTTTTGTATCGTTTCAAGCTAAAAGTGGTTAGTTGCGTTCAAAAAGTAGGTGTCATGACAGCATTAAGAAGGTACGAAACTCATTCTATTAAATACAGGTGCCTACGGCTCCTGGACATAACAGTATGGCTTCAAATTCTGTCAAAACATCCGCCTTTCAAAAGCAACTCGCAAAAACTAAACTTGAAAAGAAAGAAAACGTCAACTGCTACAGTGCAATCCAATAAATATTAAATAAAACCAAGTTTTGCAAAATTGCATTTGAGAACGACCGCTTCTAATCAGAAATTAGGTCTTTCAGAAGGGAAGTATGTAAATCTACTATGGGGTTTACTTAGATGGATCTTGGTTGTTTACTCTG